AAACAACGCTATATAGAAAGAAAACACGATAAAAAGAAAGCAAAATCTGTAACGAAAGAAGAAAGAGAAAGTAAAACAATGAAAAAAGCGAGATGAAAAAAAAAGAATAAAAGAACGAAAAAAAATAAGATAAAAATAATAATGAAAAAGTAAAGGAAAAAAGAAAAAGGGAGAACGAAAGTCAAGGAAAAAAAAGAAAAAGAGAAAAAGAAAGTTCAGGAAAAAGGAAGAGAGAAAGAAAAAATAATGGTAACAAAATAGGCGCGAAAGCAAAAAGAGAAAAATTGGAACGGAAGAAAAATTAAAGGAAGAAACAAGATGATATGAAGGAAAAAACAACTTGATATGAAGGAAAGAAGATTATATGAAGGAAAAATAAGATTATATAAAGGAAAAACAAGATCATATGAAGGCAAAATGAAGATGATATGAAGGAAAAAACAAGATGATTTGAAGGAAAACAAGTTGATTTGAAGGAAAACAAGATTATATTAAAGGAAAAAAGACAAGATGATATGAAGGAAAAATAAGATTATATAAAGGAAAAACAAGATGATATGAAGGAAAAAACAAGTTGATTTGAAGGAAAACAAGATTATATGAAAGAAAAAACAAATTATGAAGGAAAAAACGATATAAAGGAAAAATAAGATTATATAAAAGAAAAACAAGATGATATTAAGGAAAAAACAAATTGATTTGAAGGAAAACAAGATTATATGAAAGAAAAAAACAAGATGATATAAAGGAAAAAATAGGATGTTATGAAGGAAAAAACAAGGTTATATGAAGGAAAAAATAAGATGATATGAAGGAAAAAAAACAAGATTATATGAAGGAAAAATAACGAAAAAAGAAAATATAAATAAAAGTAAGAAAAAGACCAAACGGAAGAAAAAGAAAAAAGAAAAAAAGAAGAAAGGCAAGAATAAAAAAAATAAAGATGAAAAAAAAAAAAAAAAAAAGTAAACGAATCGTTTGACGGGAAATACGTGCTTCGGCCGCTGTAGTCAGACTAATTTTCGTGACAAATAATCTCGTCAAAGTTAGTCTCAGTTCGTCTGTCATTCAAGAGGCGCTAACTGCTCTCCCTTGGGAGGGCTTGTGGCACAGTTGTCTCCAGAAACATCTAAACAATGTTTAAACAAAGATTCACCATTTATCAGAAATGTTGATGCGTTCTGGTGGGCCGAAGCTAATTTGATTTCATCACTGACGAACAAAACGGAAAACAAAAACGTATTTCGACACATTTGTTTTCAGCTTTTCTATTTGATGTCTGTTTGCTTACAAACAGTTTGTCATAAATCATTTCTTTCTTACCGTACGTCCCGTTGCTAATGGATTTGGAAAAGCTGGTTCTGTTACCCACAGATTTAATCGGTCAACGGGGCGTGCTTACATCATCATCATCAGCAGCATCAGCAGCATCTGCAGTGGCAATTGTTTGTCCACTACAGGACAAAGGACTTGATTCTCGTTTAGCAAGCAAAAAGCCCTGGAGGGAGACAATGGCTTCGATAAAACAGTTGAGTAAACAGTAATGGTATAACATTGGCAGTTTCCTTATAAGGAAACATTCGGCATTCATTGACCGAGCAGTCAGTAATCGGATCAAGGTCAAAGTCAATCTGTTCTCCTCATATCTCGTGGCTATGGCAACGTTAATATTAGCCGTTACTTTATGTGGAAACATTCTGACCGAGCAGCCACTGATCGGAGCGAGATCAAATTGTAGTATCTGTTTTTCTCATATCTCATAGCAATTGTAATGTTAATATTAGCTGTTTCCTCATGAGAAAACATTCTTCATTCATTGACCGAGCAGCCAGTGCTTGGACCAAGATCAAATTGTAGTATCTGTTCTGCTCATCTTTAATGGTAATGGTAATATTAGCCGTTTCTTCATGTTGAAATATTAGGCATTCATTGCCCGAGCAGTCAGTGTCCCTTTCTTCACTCCCTGGCCATCGGACTGGGATAAAAGTGCAGTATCTGTTCTCCTCATCTCTCATAGCGATTTGTAATGTTAACTGTTTCCTTATGTGGAAACATTCAGCATTAATTAACTATGACCGAGTAGTCAGTATTATTTTAGTTTGAAATTTATAAAACCTTTCTAGTAAAAAAAAAAATTCGGGAAAATTATTTTTTTCAAGTGCTCAAATTGTTATCGCTGTCTCCATTATTGATTCACTACTTCAGATAAACGGCTAGGATGGAAATCATCCTAACCGTTTATTTGAAGTAGTTTGCAAATTTAACGTCTTTATTATGTCATTGTTTACATTTGGTATTCATTTGAGTTTCTGCCGCTATTGAAATTCTTCAAGTGATGTGGTTTTTGCTATTTGATAAAGTTCTTTATGATTCTGTAGCGCCAGTTCAAAAAGTTCGAACAAAAATGATTCGTTTCACTCGAAGCCATTTTTAACTATTGTATACAACTTGCAGTTTAGATATTTCTGAACAGTTTGGGCGCATGAGTGAAACCCATATGAAAGTGTTGATCTAACGAGGCTGTTCAAGAACATGGCTCAAATTGATAAACACATTTAGAGTTTTGATAAATCATGGCGAAGAATGAATTCAAACGAAACCTCGGATTAAAAATCTAATAATTTAAATACGATAACCTCGCCTTTTATTGTGATAGATCCGCCTTCAGTAATCAATTAATATTCAACCTAATTACAATTAACAGTAGATAAAGTAGTAACAACTGTTCAATCATGGTGATCCAATTATTCAATGAATCCTGAAGTGTAATTATCAAAATATTGTAACGAGATTGCATCACTGTTTTACTCAGTTAGGCTTATTCCATTTAATGAACTGTTTTATTGAAGTCCTTGTCTTCATCAAGGACCGTGGGTACTGGTAAACGATAGTCAAGACAGACAATGTTTTTTTTTCCCCAAATCCTTCCATGGCGACTATGACTATAATATACTCTGTCATGTCTTACTAGTGGTCAACTGTATTACCTGTTTCATCTATCTGGCCTTTTCCTGCTATATTTGCTAGTCTGTAGGCACAAATAAAGCAACCTCTTGCTTCATCTGTTATCATTTCCACTTATTATATGCCCATAGAATAAGAATAAGAATATTAGAATAAGAATAAGAATAAGAGAATAGAATAAGAATATCCAATTTCTATGTGTCCTAAGAATAAGAACGGATAATTTAAGTAAGGTAACCTCGCCTTTTCTTGTGATAGATCCGCCTTCAATAATCAATTAATATTCAACGTAATTACAATTAACTGTAGATAAAATAGTATTAATAGTTCAATTATGGCGGTCCGATTATTCAATGAGGCTTGAGTTGTATTTATAAAATTATTGTCAGAAGATTATATTACTATCAGGTACCGAAAAAGTTTTTGCCGATTTTTGTTAACTTATTTCTGTCCCAGCTGTTTAGTTATGATACTAACAAGCATAAGTATACAGGAAGCAACTTGTATTGAGAAGTATATTTGTTGAATGATTCTGTTATTATTTTATTACATAACTAATTGATAATTACGGTAGCGAAGAATGAATTCGGCTTGACTACCAAGCCGGACAATATTCACTCACTCAAAGCCATTTTTAAGTATTGATCTGAGAAGACGGTTCTATACATCTGGCTGTTTGGATATTTCTGAACAGATCTTATGGTTCGCATCTGGCCCCTTGTTTTAGACTATTTTCAATTAAATTTGGTTATCATTGAAGAATCGGTGTTTCAACGTCATTCCTGAAGGGAGCCGGTGACTTGAATAAAACAGTTGTTAACTGAAAATGGAATCGATAAACACACGTCCAGTGTTAATAATGACAGTGGCGAAGAGTGAATTCAAAAGAAACCTCTGATGAAGAAATGAAAGCAATAGTCAACCCGATTTCTGGTGCCAAGTAACAAAAGACATTTTTTAGCTAATTTCATGGTTTTGATTTCCAAAAAGACTGTAGCTTTTCATGGTTAGCTACCGTTTTTACTGTCCTGAAATTGCCCTCTTTGGAAAAAACATCAATTTACTATCTGGGCTGATCGCAAAATTTAGTTAATAAAAGTCGTAGATACGCAACAATTTTTGGGTAGGCCAAGAGATTTATGTCAGCCACCTAAAATGAATTATTTTAATAAGAAAGAAAACACGTCTACATCGCTTGATGGGTAATAAGCTTCTCGAAAAACTTCCTCCTATTTCTTTCCCTCGCTAGCTCAGCCAATCAAAATCGACTTCCCTATTATGGTTCTCATCTGGCCCCAACTGTCAACCTCCGGAAGTCGGTTCCGAGATACATTAACTAAAATGGAATTGATAAACACACGTCCAGTGCTAATAATTACGGTGGCTAAGAATGAATTAAAATGAAACCGCCAATTAAGAACTGATAAATAAGATATATTTGCTTATTATTTTGCATGATCCGTTTCAGCAATTAATTAATATTCAACCTAATTACAATTAACGGTAGATGAAATAGTAACAACAGTTTAATTATGGTGATTCGATTATTCAATGAAACCTGAAGTGTACGTATCAAAAATTTGAAACAAGATTGCATCACTATTTTAGTCAATTAGACGTATTCCATTTAGTGAAGTGTTTTATTGAAGTCTTTGTCTTCATTCTGGACCGTGGGTACTGGTAAACGGTAATCAACACGGACAATGTTTTTTTACCAAATTCCTTTCATGGCAATGACAAAGTTTTAGAGAAAATGGAGAAAGAAAAAAACAAAAAACAAAAAAAAACAACATTTATATTTAACATTAAAAGGAGACATTTGAAATTTTGAGGTCACATAATGAGGAAAGAAGACATGTAAAGTTTGATACTCACAGGACATATTGAAGACAATAAGGAAAACAACGTATAACCTACCTAGCAAGTTTGAGCAAACAGCGTTTTAGGAAAGACAGGAAATTGTGGAGAGCCATGATCGCCAACGGCCTGAAGAGACACGGCACATAGAATAAGATGCTAAATACGCTTTTATGTTTATGTTTCTTCTTTCTCTCTCATTCTTTCTTGCAGAGACATTTTTAAAAGCCTGGACTGTTAGAAGGATGAAACAACATCAACTACCTTTCATTGTTACTCGTTTGTTATCTAAATCTAGTTCGGCAAAGATGTTATATTTGAAAACCCAGGTCAGATCGATCAAAACTAGCCCAGCCATTTTGTCTGCGATCTATACTTCCGGTATAACAAAAGGATCTAATCCGTCAAATACTATGAGAAAGAACTGGCTGGTGATAATAATCATCGCACTATATTCGGCGTCAAGCAGAGTCAAAAACAATTGGGAGAAACATAAGGACTCAGCTAGCCGCATTAACGGTGGGTCTAACGAGACTAGCTTTGCCAACCATCCATTTTCAACAGGTTTCTTATTGAGTTATTTAAATATATTCCTCGGTAGTTAACTGGGAATTACATTCCGCTTAATCAATAATGCATCAATTGTCTCAGGTATAGACATAGCTTCCATCTTTTACATTCAATTCCTTCTCTTTCTCTCTTTTTCTTTCTCCCATAAATAAATGTTCTCTGCCTTTCTCTCTTTCTAAAATTTTACGTCTTTCTTTGTTTAAGCAATTATCGCCCTTTTTCAAAACATTAACTTCTTTTTCTTTCTTTCTTTAACTTTACAGTATATGTTTCTATCACCAATCTCCCTTATATCACATTTTCAATTTCTTTTTCTTCTTTCTTTTTTCTTTCTTTCTTTCTTTCTTTCTTTCTTTCTTTCTTTATTTCTTATTTACTTCACCTCTTTAGTATATCTTTCTTTCTTTCATTAATTTTCTTTGGAGAGCTTTCTCAATTCCTGTCTTTCTTTCTTTCTTTCTTTCTTTCTTTCTTTCTTTCTTTCTTTCAGAAGTCTTCCCTTTCTTTCTTTCAGAAGTCTTCCCTTTCTTTCTTTCTTTCTTTCTTTCTTTCTTTCTTTTTTTCTTTCTTTCAGAAGGTTTCCCTATTTTTCTTTCTTTCTTTCTTTCTTTCTTTCAGCAATCCTCATTCTGTTTCTTTCTTTTTTCGTGATTTTCATTCCAAAATTTCACGTCTTTCTTTTTTATCTTTCTTCCAATCAGAAATCTTTCTTTCTTTCTTTCTTTCTTTCTTTCTTTCTTTCTTTCTTTCAGAAGTCTTCACTTTCTTTCTTTCTTTTAATGCCTTCTTTCTTTCAGAAGGTTTCCCTATTTTTCTTTCTTTCTTTCTTTCTTTCTTTCTTTCTTTCTTTCTTTCTTTCTTTCTTTCTTTAACATTTCAGTATATCTTTCTTTCACCAAACTCCCTTAGATTGAATTTCTTTCTTTGTTTCTTTCTAAATTATTCCTCCCTTTTCAAAAAGTTATCTACTTTCTTTTCTTTTTCTCAGAAATTATTTGCTCGATTTCTTTTTTGTTCTATTTTTCGGTTGCAAATTTTCACGTAAATTTAAAAAAAAAATCTTTCTTTCTTTTTGTCTTTCATTCTTTCAGAAATCTTCGTTCTCTTTCTTTCTTTCTCTTTTCCCAATTTCCCAAAATTTCATGCGTTTCTTTCTTTCTTTCTTTCTTTCTTTCTTTCTTTCTTTCTTTCTTCAAACAATTACCCCTCCTTTTTTTCAAAAAGGGTATCTTCTTTATATTTTTCAGAAATTTTGCCTTTCTTTCTTTCTGCTTAATTTTTAACTTCTCTTACCTAAGCGCCCAATCTTTCCCTCTCTTTCTAGCGTAGTTCACTATTTTCAAATTTTGTCTGGGTGTTGTCAGTCGAGGAAATAACCAAAGAGAAAATGGCGTCACTTTCAATCAACCATTGTAATGAAAATATCGTTTGTGGCGGTTATAAGATTTCCTTATGAACCGTGTTGAACTAACCAATTGCACAGTTCAAACGCTTACTGAGACATAAATATTGACGCTCGTATATATATATATATATATATATATATATTGAAAAGTTTTCGAACCGACCCACTTGCCCAAATTAGTATAATATTTCATTTTGTCATTTTCCTTTATTTCTTATTTTCTTTGTAAATTAACTGTTATCTATCTATCTATCTATCTATCTATCTATCTATCTATCTCAAATCTTTTCATATATTTGTATCTGTGCCATGTAAAGTATTGGAATTGATTACACACATCACTTTTTATCAGTTCATTCCACCATTACTTGATATGGCTTAGTGATTATATACTGCTGATGCAAAAGCTCTTCTATGAATTAAGCACTCTGAATCAGTGGTGTATTTATTCTAAAAAGAATTACGTAAACATTCACCTTCCCCTCTGCAGGGAGCTGATAGTCAAGGGGAAAAATCTCCCACTGATGCCAAATCAGTTGGGTTTCGATCCTGGCTTGAGGCAATCACATGTCTGGACACACTGATTATCAATGATACAACGAAACAGTCTGTCTGTGGATCACACACACACACACACACACACACACACACACACACACACACACACACACACATGTGTGTGTGTGTGTGTATTACAATGAATCATTTATATAAAAAGTAAATTAGTAAAGTTAATGATATAAAATAGCGAAATCCCTTCGTTAACTAAATTTTAAAGTTGCAATAACCTACTAATCACTTGATGAATGTTATGATCCTTGTTTTTTTTTTAAATAAGCTGTATAAGGTCTTTCTTAAATACTTTCGACTGCACATTCAGTCATCTTCAGTCATGGGAATTATTTTGTTTTTGGTAATTTTGTTAGCGAAGGAATTTCGCCATTTTATATCATTAACTTTACTAATTTACTTTTTGTATGAATGATTCATTGTAATATAAATTGAACTGCGCCACATATTTGATATATATATATATATTGATATATATATATATATATATTATATATATATATATATATATATATATATATATATATATGTGTGTGTGTGTTCATTGTATGTATGTGTATATGTGTGTGTGTACGAGTAGTTAAAACAAAAATAAATTGGTTCCGTAACCTAAAAACAAAGGTAATTACTAATTTATGCACATAAATTTAAAATATTTATATTTTTCTATAACCAAACAGATTCAGAATAACAATTAAAATAGACATAAACAAAGCAGAAATCATTAAGTATTGCCGAAAATAAATATTATCCGACGATGAAGACACATTGTTAAAAGAAGAAGGAATCTTCGATGTTACATAAGGAAGTTACGATAGTGCTCTAACCTGCGAGCTTATAGGTACATATTTACGATATGAACTAAGTAAAATAACCTTTAAAATGATATAGACCTTTACAGGGAAGACGGTCGCATAATACTAATAAACTGCCCCAAACAAAAATATAGAAATCCCGAAAAATAATAATAAAAATTTTCAAAAATATGGGATTCGACATAAACATAAAAATAAACCAAAAAGAAGCATATTTCCTAGATATCATATTCAACCTAAGAAAAGGCGAGAGCAGAGACCATTGAAGGCGTTACACGCATAACACTCAACAGAGAATCAGTTTTAAGTGGGAAGTTAGGCAAGGATACTTCGCATGAGACAAGAGTAGAGTTTCAGGATAATTTATTGGTAAAGCATTCAGCTTCTTCAGCGGTGGATGATAACACCTCAATTCGATTGAAGAGGGAGAAGTAGAGACCTTGCTATTATTTAGTACACTATTGCAGAGACGCCAGTAGTCACGAGAGACGAAGTTTTTCGGGGCTTGGATTATTGGCGTATGTTTGGCCTTATTCTTTTAGCAGACATTCTCTCAAGCAGATTTAGCTTCTTCCAGAACTGGCTTATATTTGTTACGATTAGTAGTAAATAGGCACCTGTTATGGCTAGAGCTGTCACGCTGGTATTTCTGGAAATAGTGTTGGAATTCGAGCATGATGGTGGGAATCATGGAGAGGATTGTGGTTTCACTTGGTATTTCCAAGGAGAAATGAATGCGTCCTTACCGGGTTTGACCGAAGAAGAAACCACATTGGCGCAATTTTCAATTGACAGGTTGAAGATGTCAGTCCAATGGGGCATCTGAGGAAATACCAGAATGCGTCTCAATAAGCATGCTGCGCCCGGAAAGTATAGGGCTTACTGCTTAATGGGTGCTTGGAAGGAGATATCAATAGCTACCACAGAGTGGTCTGAGTTACCAAGAGGGCAGTACTGTGAAACCATTTACATTATTCGGACTATTGCTCTCATCTTTGTCGCCATATTTATTACAACGTTTCGGCCGTTGTACGCTCTGGCCTTCTTCAGGTAGCTGTAATGTCGAACTGAACGCTTTATTTCGCTCACTGGAAAATTCTTAAACTTAAGGAATCAGCATATATGCTAGGCCACAAAAAACTCCTGAGCCGACCAAGCATAGAAATGAATACAATATGGGAACTAATAATAAAGAATGCCAGAGAAATGCGATAATAATGACAAAAATTGTAATATGAGCTCTGGTAAAAACATAAATTGATAATCGCAAAAAAAGCAATATGAGCACTGGTAGAAAATGGTTGCTGAAGTTTATAATACCCAGAAATTCATACACAGATGTCCTCAAAGACACATGTCACAGGCGTTGGTTAGATCCAGTGACAGGACCCAAAAAGTGTGAGTTCAATACACGGTTAAGGCAGTGGAGAACTTGGAGAGTGGAATTAACAGGAAATAACTGATAACTGACATACATTAAACATGGCACGTGGAACTAGAATATTCTACATTCCAACTACCTGAAGAAGGTCGGAGCGTACAACGGCCGAACCTTTGTAATAAATATGGCGACAAAGATGACGACAATAGTCCGAATAATGTAAATAGTGTACATAATACCTCATCTCAGAAATATAGACAGATACTGAAAGGCGGAAACGTTTTTATAAATATGACGACAAAGACGAGGAGAATAGTCCGAATAATGTAAATAGTGTACATAATACCTCATCTCAGAAATATATACAGATACTGAAAGGCCGAAACGTTGTAATAAATATGGCGACAAAAATGACGAAAATAGTCCGAATAATGTAAATAGGGTATATAATACCTCATCTCAGAAATATAGACAGATACTGAAGGGCCGAAACGTTGTAATAAATATGGTGACAAAGATGAGGACAATAGTCCGAATAATGTAAATAGGTTACATAATACCTCATCTCAGAAATATAGACAGATACTGAAGGACAGGAACGTTGTAATAAATATGGCGACAAAGATGAGGACAATAGTCCGAATAATGTAAATACGGTACATAATACCTCATCTCAGAAATATAGAGAGCACTGTGAAACGTTTCTGAGCGGCGAGAAGAGGTAAAGAAATATCTGCCCGGTTTCGCTAGTGAAACAAGTTGTGAAATCTACGATTTGAATGACGGATTGGGCAATGGAAAAATTTAATGATTATATACCAGCAACATCATTGCTTTTTTTTTACCGCGTATCAGGGTGAGCGTTAAATTCACCGAAGACAAAGATGTTCACAGATAGATGAAGAGAAAGTGACTTTTGTATATCAGCTATGACGTCTAATATACTGCAGTCTGATGGGGAGAGATGAAGGAAAAAGAGATAACCGATAGAGTTTCGTAGCGAAAGACAGAATCATATGAAAGATTGGCAAGCGACTTCAAGATAATACCCCGGAAGTAAACGCCAAGAGAAGTTTATCCCGGAAGTAAACACCAAGGCCATGCATGTGAATGATGGAATCTTTTCGGCAAATGGGAAGCCTCCCTTAATATGTGTCAATTTGAAATTTCATTCTCTTTTAGTTCATTGATCTTGCTTTGAACGATGTCAGTATACATCTCTTTGCAATTCGGCTGATCCAGGTGTTTGTTGTGTTGCAATTTGAATGCTTCCTTGGCCCCTCTTCCATTTCTGTAGTCTATCTCTAACGCTATGTATCACTGGAAGTTGACCACTTCCACAAGCAGTATATTATTTTTAAAAAAATATCACGTAAAAATCACCCTTCGGAAAACATAAAGCTCTTTCCGAAATGCCGTATTCATTAAAAGATTTCTGTACCAATAATCAAAACATAATTCTTACGTTGGTCACACAAACACCACCCTCACTCATAGTCTCACTTGTAACTTATCGTAACTTGTGCACATGTCGATCAGTGGACAACGAAAATGCAACTGGTAACATAAACTATATTAAAGATGCAAACCGCTTTTTATGGATGCACTTTCAAAAACTAGCTGCACTGGTCTTTGACCACTTTCTAAGTCAAAAAAGAAAATAACCTTACTTATATCTTTAAATCCAGCCAAATTCAAGCGAGTGCTGTTTCATCATAATAGGTCAAATACTAAATTTTCACCAGTCGCAATAAGTGATTAGGTTCGCTTCAGCAGGGCCGGCACATCTTGCTTCCGAAACCCCTGAAAACGGGGGCGGAGGGAATTTTATTTTTTGGCCTCGTTGTGGTCTCTGCTATTTTTCAGCACTGTTTTATGACCATCCGCCATTTTTTAATTTATTTTTAAACTGACTTTACATTGTCAGTCATCAACAAATAATATACATAGTGTATCTGCATGGTCAGTGCGGTGGGTACTGCGCAGGAACTCCAAACGAGGTTGGAGCCCCAAATAGGCTAATTTCAGCAACGTCTTTTTGCTTTTTGTACATTTACGTTTTTTCTACCTAAGTTATATTGTCAATCATCAACGATAATTATCGGCAGGGCCGGTGATTACTACCACGAACCTCTCAACCGCGTGGAGGCCCGATGCCCCCAAATGGGGGAAGGAAAAGTCCTAATTTCAGTAGCGCTTATTTTTTATAAATTATAATTTCTTTCTGAACAGTTCTTTTCAATCAATTAAGAGGGTAATATATCTCGGTAAAATCATTTTTTATTCCTAGATCATCCACTAAGTAAGATCTCTGATTTTTTTTACTAATAGCAATACTAACCTGAAGTCCACGGCTAGTAATTAAAATTAATTTTCTAGTTCCTATTTTTGACATTTCCAGAAAGATAAAACCGGTAAAATGATCGCTTAAAAAATAAAAAAAAATGTTTCAACATGGAAAATTTTCCTGAAAACTGAAATATTTTAAGACAATCCCGTTTGAGTTGTGTTGGAATCTTTGTAAAACTTTTTTTTTTCAGTGGAGATGCGTTGGCGATTAATCTTTATGGAAATGTAAAAAATTGTGACTTAAACATTTTTTCAAGTAAAATTTAGTCATGACAGTATTAGTGGTTATTAAAAAAAAATAATAATTTATCAGATTTTTTAAAATAAAAAAAAACTATTCATTATAAAAGTAAATAATGAATACGTACTGAAATTTTCACTTTAATTAGATAATACTATGACGTCTGGTAATTTTAAAAAAAGCGCTGCATTTCACCTCTCCCAATTTTCCTGCAAGGGTTTGTGGCCCCCAGGTTGGGAACTGAGATCGACCTGTAGTAGAAAGAGGGCTATGTATCAAAGTCTTGGTGGGGTCGAGGCGAGGTCCTAGTTCCGGATTTTATCTCCAGACTACAAGTGGAACTTGTACAACTAAGTATCTGTCCATATGGCACAGTGGATAAAGGCGTTAGTTAGATCCAGTGACAGGACCCAAAGAGCGTGAGTTCAATACCCGGTTAAGGCAGTGGAGAACTTTCAGAGGAAAATTACCAGGAGATAAGTGATAACTGGCATCCATTAAAACATGGCACGTGGAACTAGAACAGTCTACCCCAGTGAGCAAAATAAAGGGTTCAGTTCGACATTCCAACCACCTGAAGAAGACCGTAGCGTAAAACGGTCGAAACGTTGTAATAAATATGGCGACAAAGATGAGGACAATAGTCCGAATAATGTAAAAGAATGCTGTACAAGGAATTGCTAAAGTTGTTGAGAAAATAAATTGGTTAATTCTATCGTTCCTGAAAAAAATCTGACTCAGCCATTCTTTATCTTAACAAATGGAGTATGGCTGTCATATATTAGTTGGAGCTATTCAATCTCCGCTTTTCTCTCTCTCTGTCTTTACCCTGGAGAGAAATAGAGAGAAAGACAGAGATTCTTTATTTTACACTGAGGTTCGCTCTGTACAAGACCCGGATAATATTAATTAATTAATATTAATTAACATTTATTGCCCATCTACTTCTAAAAAATCTAAAAGCATTTTCTTTATACGCTGTTTTGTATCTCATTCCGTCCTGAAGAAGTCGATCTCAACACATGTCGAAGCGCGTCGGTTATAAGGTTTTCCACTTTGTCTCATCATCTCCAACAGCCATTCTATTTCCAAGAGATGTTCTTAACCTGTTACCGGAAGTTTCCTTTTTTATACTTCCGTATGCTTCTCCACAAGGTTTGTCCATATTTATGGACTCCTGGAGACAATGGATTAAAATCAACGCTGTTATTTATCTTTGGATAATGCACACTTTTGAATTTGTAAGAAATGTCATCGCTAGATATATGACTTCCGCTGACACAATAAATACTTACGTCTGTCATAATCAAGGTACGCCGCCTACCCTTATATCCTTGATGACCTCGCGTCGACCTTACCGATTGCGTCTTGTCTGATGGAATATTTTTTCTGGTTGCTACGCGACAACAGGCTGACTTCCTCCCACACCCGATCGTAAATCAATAAATTATGATCAAAACGATGAAAGATAAGGTAGAAACGCCATAGCGCAGGGTGACAACAGCGACCGAGGAAAAGTGGGCAAAGTGCATAGAGTGAGAGGTTGAAAAGATAGATAGATAGATAGATAGATAGATAGATAGAGAGAGAGAACGAGAGAGAGAGAGAGAGAACGAGAGTGAACAAAGGAAGAGAGCGAGAAAAAAGTGTGTACCGAAAAAGAGAGAAGGACAGAGTGTGCAGGGGGATAGAGAGAAAAAGATTATTATGAGAAATAGAGAAAGACAGTATGCAGAAAGAGAGTGTGACCGAGAAAGAAAGAAAGAAAGAAAGAAAGAAAGAAAGAAAGAAGAAATCGTGAGAAAAAGAAGTGAGATAAAAGAAGAGAAAGAGGAAAAGAGAAAATGATAAAGTGACAGAGAAAAAGTGCCATATATGGTAAGAGCAGTAGAAATCTTAGAAAGAGAGAGAGAGAGAGAGAGAGAGAGAGAGAAGGGAAAGAAAGAAAGAAAGAAAGAAAGAAAGAAAGAAAGAAAGAGTGTGCACAGTAAGTGCATGGTGAGGATTAGAAAGACAGAGAGAAAGAAAGAGTATGCGCAGTGAAAGAGAGAGAGAATGAGAGAGAGAGAGAGAGAGAGAAGTAGAGTGAACATTGAGAGAGAGTGAGTGAAAGAAAGAGTGTCCACAGAGAGAAGAGTATAGTGTACAGTAAAAGAGAGAGAATGAGAGAAAGAAAAAGTGTGCACAAAGAATGTATGGTAAAACTTATAGAGATAGAGAGACAGAGAGAAAGAAAGAGTGTGCGCAGTGAAAGAGAGAGAGAGAGAGAGTGAGAAGTAGAGTGAGCATTGAGAGAGGGAGAGAGAGAGTGAGAATGTTTGCAGAAAGTGTATGGTGAGGTTTAGAGAGACAGAAAGAAAGAAAAGATGTGAAAGAGAGAGAGAGAGAGAGAGAGAGAGAGAGAGAGAAAGAAAGAAAAAGTCTGCACAGAGAATGTATGGTAGAGAGACAGAAAGAAATGGCGTGTGCAGTGAAAGAGAGAGAGAGAGAGAGAGAGAGAGAGGAGTAGAGTGTGCAGAAAAAGAGAGTGTATGCGTGTGTGTTTGTTTGGATGCAGAGAAAGGGAGAAAAATAATAAAGTTTGCAGATGATGAGAGAGAGAGAGAGAGAGTGTGCATAGACAGAGGTAGAGAGTGGGAAGAGACAGATAGAAAGTTTGCAGAGAAAGTGAGAAAAAAGACTGTACAGAGAGAGAGAAAGAGAAAGAAAGATTGCAGAGAAATTGGATTTTTAAGAATTTATGAATTTCTTAAAAAAGGCGTTAATCTAAACTCTTATATGGATATAATTCATATCGTTCAACTCATTCGGACGTTTTAAAATCATTTCACCCAAGCATGGCAATAAAACCACTAAGACCCAAAGAGTGACTTAGTATGAGAAAACACAACTATTAAGGAGAGAGGACAATAAAAGAACCGGATTTAAGAAGACAGAAAATAACGATTGGCATTGCATTTATATGTTTTAAGATCAAACGTGACTGCGAAGCAAGAAGCCGGAAGAGATTTCCACAAGCGATAAGTGCGATAGAAGAAACAGTTAGCATAGAACTTACGGTTACATCTAAACACTTCAACAGCAAAATGATGACACCTTCCCGTCAATCTAGTACTGCGCTTAAATTCATAGAGTCTAGGTACCATAGAAGAAAGCCCATCAAAACAATTACCATGAAAATAAGTATACAGAAAAGGCACAGCGAAGCTATGTTACGGCGGTGAGAAAGTGACTGAAGCTGTGATGCCAGGCTAGGACCAATAACATTGCAGATTCTTATTTGGATTTTATCAAGAAACTCCAATTATACTTCAGGAGCATCAATTCCTATTTGGCAGCAATATTCAAAGCAAAAACGAATGGTAAACTTATAAAGTATGTAAGATAAATTCTGGCAAGAAATATTGTCTACCATGACACAGTAAAGCAGCTTTCCTAGCAGCAGACGTAGCAGTTGATTCAATATAATCTTTCCACTTCATGTCAATTTAAAATGATAGTCCAAGAAGATACACTGAGTTACATTCCAGGGGTTAAGCATCAACCATAAATATGATAAATATGGCAACAAAGATGAGGACAATAGTCCGAATAATGTAAATAATGTATATAATACCTCATCTCAGAAATATAGACAGATACTGAAAGGCCGAAACGTTGTGATAAATATGGCGACAAAGATGAGGACAATAGTCCGAATAATGTAAATAGTGTATATAATACCTCATCTCAGAAATATAGACAGATACTGAAGGGCCGAAACATTGTAATAAATATGGCGACAAAGATGAGGACAATAGTCCGAATAATGTAAATAATGTATATAATACCTCATCTCAGAAATATAGACAGATACTGAAAGACCGAAACGTTGTGATAAATATGGCGACAAAGATGAGGACAATAGTCCGAATAATGTAAATAGTGTACATAATACCTCATCTCAGAAATATAGACAGATACTGAAGGGCCGAAACGTTGTGATAAATATGGCGACAAAGATGAGGACAATAGTCCGAATAATGTAAATAGTGTACATAATACCTCATCTCAGAAATATAGACAGATACTGAAAGGCTGAAACGTTGTAATAAATATGGCGACAAAGATGAGGAGAATAGTCCGAATAATGTAAATAGTGTACAAACATATATATGCACAAAAGCTGTGTATCATCTACCATGTATTCAATTGTGAAAGCAGAATAACATATATCATATTTTTATTACTTCAAAGTTCACAAGAAAGATATGTTTTTTAGTACGCTGTCGTATTATATTCAAGAATGTAATTTAGTCTGTTTTTAGCTTCAGAAATACGGGGACGTGTTATACTCAAGTAAGTATTATACATAAGAAAATAAGGTAAATGCGACAGTGGAAGACACAATATAAGCGAGGAACAGTGCCGTACTGTTCAACTGTCGAACTCTCTGCCTTGAGCAGAGAAGAACCCGGACGAGGCTTTGCCGAGGACAAAGTTTCGTCTGGGGAGGTAGACAGGCCCTGAACGCGTTTATACAGTTTCTAAGGGAATATATTTAGCCGAGCTTGCGGGCTCGGAGAAACCTCGGTAAACTCGGCCTTGTGCCACATACATCCCCCGTGTGTGTGTGCGTTTGGGGGGGGGTTCTGTTAAATATTAACAGAAGCGAGGAATGTGAAAGTTTGCACGACGAAAACTGAGGGGAAAATTAGGTGTTGAGACGACATTACAAAATACGTGAAAAGCGGACAATACAGACGCAGTTACGAACAAACGTTTAAAATTTTCAAAAAAAAAAAATAAAAAAATAAAGAAATAAAAATAAAATAAATAAATAAAAATAAAAATAATTAAAAAAAACAAAACAAAACAATAATAATGTGATGGATTATTGTTGTTAAATATTTATTACTTATATTGTATTTAAAATAATAGCTGTGCTTGCAATAAACATGAGACCTGATACCTAATGTTAATTAAAAACAGACATTTTGTTCATTCTTGTTTTTATTTAGTGGGTTCGCTTTAAACGGGCTGATGCTATAATTTAAAAAAAAATGGAAAGAAAAATGCGTCAGTCCCCTGCTCCATTTACCAACATTACATACCAGAAAAAAAACAAGGGGCGTGGGCCTCTATATTCAAATATTCTGACAGTTTAAATTCTTTCCCTAAAGTCAAACAAACAACCTTATTAAAAAAAATGGATTTTATTTACTTCGGTTGGAAATCGGAAGTAGAAACGGATGGCTTGTTTATACAAGGTAACCAAAAAAGTTCTGTCCGTTTTTTGATTAGTCATTGAATGAAGGTGAAATATATACGAAATGCGTGTAGCAATTGTTTTCAAATCAGTTATAAGCCGGACAGCTGCGAGAAGGATGGAAGTGTCTAGAGATCTCGTTCGGGGCTCTTTGCTTTACGACTTCAAAGTGGGCTTGTCAGCAGCTGCATAAAGTCGACGTATATGTAAAGCGTTTGGGGATAGTGCTGTGGATGAACGTACTGCAAGGCGTTGGTTTCGAAAATTCAAGTCGGGAGATTTGTCTCTCCATGATGAGCATCGCAGTAGACGACCACAGGTCTTGAATGACGGAGTCCTGAAGGCGGCCATTGAAGAGGACAGCAGTCTAACGTGTGGCCAACGTTTCCGATGAAACAGGTAGACTTCACCTGCGCCGCCTAGGTAAGACATACAAACTGAGCAAGTGGGTTACGCAAACGCTGTTGGAGGTCCACAAGGGAAAACGTGTGGCAGCCTGCGTATCACTGCTTTCTCGCCACCGTACCGCATCCTTATTCAATCGAGTGCTTACCAGTGATGAAAAATGGGTTCTGTACGAAACTCCCAAGCATTCCAGACATTGGTTGTCTCCTCACACCGCAAGACCGCCTATGCACCCACGCAAGATTATGCTTTGTGTCTGGTGGACAGGTCGTCAAGTGGTTCATTATGAACTGCTACCAACGGGCCAAACGGTCACTGGAGACCTATACTCACAGCAATTGAAACGTGTGCAACAGGCATTGCGCCAGAAGGAACCAGCACTGGTGAATCGCAAAGTGTGCTTTTCCTCCATGACAACGCCAGGCCGCATGTCGCGCGAGTGGTCAGGGATACCATACAGCAACTTGCGCGGGAGACTTTGTGCCATCCACATTATTCGCCTGACCTTGCGCCATCCGCCTTATTCACCTGACCTTGCGCCATCCGATCACCACCTCTTCTACTCCCTGGATAATCATCTTCGTGGGAAATCCTTCACCAATGAAGCAGACGTGCGCAAAGTCCTCACGGACTTCTTTGCGTCAAAACTCCCCGAGTTCTACCGCAAGGACATTGAACAACTGGAGACACGTTGGCAGAAGGTGCTGGATGCCGATGGCGATTACTTTGAAGACTAAATATAAGTTACACATACTGTGAAGCCTTTTTTTTTTCCTTTAAAAACGGACATAACTTTTTTGGTTACGTTGTAATATACCACGGTCTGCTATTATCCCATAGTCGAAGTGGGTGATAGCGTGTCAGGACGATCCAAGAATATTTGTGTATCACGGTCACCAGTTCCGTAACCCATTAGGGTCGTACAGAGCACCAACTGCAACTGTATTAGAAGTGGTGTGCCTTGGGAAAGATAGCCTGACCGAACCCAATCCTCTCAAACCTGACTTGAATTCAGAGTTTTCCTTTTCCTAGACCAATTGCCAACCAAGGCTATAGAACGCAATCTTTCCTGCCCACAGCTCATAGAGACGAATTCATACCTTTCCCAAAGGTATAAATCCTTTGAGCCCTAACCACCGCTTTACCGATGGTAGAGAAAAATGATTAATGCGCAGCCCCCGGTTGATCAGTGGTAGAGAAAAATGACTTAATTCCCAGCCACCGGTTGAAAGGTGGTAGAGAAAAATGACTTAATGCCCATCCACCGGTTGATCAGTGGTAGAGAAAAATGACTTAATGCTCAGCCACCGGTTGAACAGTGGTAGAGAAAAATGACTTAATTCCCAGCCACCGGTTGAAAGGTGGTAGAGAAAAATGACTTAATGCCCAGTCACCAGTTGATCAGTGGTAAAGAAAAATGACTTAATTCCCAGCCACCGGTTGAACGGTGGTAGAGAAAAATGACTTATTGCCCAGCCACCGGTTGAAAGGTGGTAGAGAAAAAGGACCGGACGGTGGGTAAACACTTGTAACTATTTTTTTTATATCTACTGGGGAAACATTACATACCAATTATTGGCGAATTTTAACTCTGGAGCTCAGGCAGAAGGGTTGATACTGTTCAGGAACGCAGGACTCAAACGTTTAATACGTAATGTTGCCTCCTCGTGTCTTTTCTATAAATACTTTCATGGACATTGTTCCAATTAACGCTTTGCAATACTATCTAGTCTTTATATTCAATAAGACTAGACAGTGGTAGACCTCATCAATTTACTGTTGAGTTGGCGAGATGTAGCCGTGAGGTTTATATTAACAGTTTCTTTTCTCGCCTGTGGAACTCCCTTCTGACTCCAATGCTTTCCAGCCAACTTTAATCTGCAAAAATTTAAATGCAATGTCAATCGTTATCTACTGTCCTTTCTTTCCCGCTCATTATTAATGCTTCTTTACCTAATTCTTCCAGTAACCTCGTTGTGACTTAGTGGCTTTACTCTCTTGCTTGGGGTGAACGACACAACGAAGAGAGAGAGAGAGAGAGAGAGAGAGAGAGAGAGAGAGAGAGGGAAAATGAGAGAAAGAAAAGGAAAAAGAGAGAAAGAGAAGGAAAAAGAGAGAAAACAAAGGAAAGAGAGGAGGGAAAAGAGATAAAAAGAGGGAAGAAAAGAAAAAAAAAGACAAAAAAATAGTGAAATAAATACAAAAGCAAAACGTAAAAACTAAAGGAAATAAAAAAAATAAAACCTCGTGAACATATTAAAAAATACGTGAGAAGATGGAACAGAGCTTACTATAACTCAATTTAATTCAAATAATTATATTGAAGTTTTCGGCTCTTGTTTTGAAACATGAGACCTCTTATGTTGCGAGTTGGAATCATATTTTTAAATAAATAATTATATATATATATATATTGCTGCCACATATGTTCCGGTGGTACTGATATATATATATATATATATATATATATATATATATATATATATACTGCCCTTGATAAAATCCAAAGAAGAATCAGCAATATTATTAGTCACGTGATCTTCCGTCTCAGCTTCAGTCACTTTCTCACCGACGCAATGTTGCCTCCCTGTGTCTTTTCTATAAACACTTACATGGTAATTGTTCGTGATGAGCTCTTCTCTATGGTATCTAGACTTGTGAATATAAACGCAGTACTAGGTTGGCGAGTAGGTCTCATTGTCATAGAGTTGAGCTGGCTAGATATAACCGTAAGTTCTATGCGAACAATTGCTTTTCTCACTTGTGGAACTCCCTTCTGACTCCAATGCTTTCCAGATGCAATGTAAATCATTATCTATTGGCCTTCCTTTTCCACACATTATGAATGTTTCTGTTCCTAATTCTTTAAGGTACGCCAAGTCATCATGCACTATGGCTTGAGCAGATCCATGGCCGAAGCCCACCATTGTCGCCACTTGCGCTAACGTGATCCACACATCTTTTCCGATCAAGGTGTTCATCATCTGGGTTTGAATTCCTCTGCCCACAGAAAGCTTACTAAGTTGTTACTCGGTGGTGCAATCCATATATCTGACCGCATTGTTTCTTGGAACTCGACTGAAAAACAGTAGACGACGAGGCTAGCTACCCATCATCCTATGCGAACGCGTGGTGTCGCACGTCAGCGTTTCTCTGTTGATTTTACCGCGTAATTTCAAAATTGTCTTTACCTTCTGATTTACCATTGTATAATGTACGATTCGGATGAAAACACTTTATATTTTGCAGATCCACAATGATTAACATTTCTCTATTGTAGCCACGAGGTATAAATTTAAATATTAAAACAAAAATATTAGTCGTAAACGTCTCGGCTCGATACATCTCATTACTTTCCACCTTTAAATCATGCCGTTCACTGAAGCGAAGAGATAGTAACAAAGTATAATTGGGCGTGGTAATTAGATGCATTGGGAGGAGTGGCAATATTTAAGCGCCATTTTGGTAGTAATGGCGGATTGAATGAATAATGGCTGGAAATTGCGCTTTGCTGATATAATTTTGTTTGTTTTTTTTTTGCTTATTGATTGAATCAGTGAAAAAATTGGCAGGGGTGTGATGGACTTTGGGTTTGACGACAAAAAACCATGAAATATGGCGGATACTACGGAAGCGTAGAGACTACATTAACTAGAAATGTTTTTTTATGAAAGAAAAATAAAAATAAAAAAAGCTTCGCAAATTAATCAGTAAGTGAAATAAATTCTAACGAAACTGGGACTATTCGGAGCCCTGCACTTAATGAGATCGTATCTGCGAAGCGGTTGTAAAGATTTCGCGCTTCAGTGGAGGCACTGAGAATTTTCGTTTATTCAAAAACTATCAAAAAGTCTTGCGAAATTAGTTTTGTGCAGTAAGTAATTCCTCGGTTTTGGAAAAAGAATTAAAAAAAAATATTCATATTTAATAGTTTAAATATATTTTTCAAGAATATAAACAACATTATTCGTAATGACAAAAGCCCTGGATGAAATTGAATCATTCCTTGTTATAAGAATCATGGATTGATCAATACCCTATTGTTTGCTTAATTATCGTACCTACACAAAATAATTTATTTATCAAGAACATAATCATCATTATTAGCAATGAAAAAAAAACGAGGATGAAACTAATTGTTTTATTCCTTGTAGAAAGAATCTCGGGATTCTGTATGAAAAGAATTTTGATCTTGCCGAATTGATCATTTCTCTACTTTTAAACGTTTTGCCTAACTATCACTCTACAGCAGGAACTCAAAATCATTTATTTATCAAGAACATAATCATCATTATTAGCAATGAGAAAAGCCCAGGATGAAATTAATTCTCTTATAACTTGTAGAAAGAAACTTTGAGATTATGGATGAAAAGAAGTCTTATTGTGTTGAATTTTTCCATCTAAGTGTCCATTTTGTTTCTGTTTTCGTTAAAACTTCTTCGTTACTCATATGCTCCGTCCATGCTATTCTCAGAATCCCTCTGCTGAACCCATATCTCTGTTGACTCAAGTCTCTTCTTCATCTGAGAGGAGATTTTGCAGCATTCATTGACATATAGGAAGACTGATATTACGTTGCAACCTGAAATATCGCTCCACAGAAGGATGCTGAGAATACCATGGACAGAACATGAGCAATGGCGAAATTTTAAAGAAAATAGAAGCAAAAAGGACACTTATACTTAACCTCTATAAGAGATAGTTGAATTTTCTATGACACATAATGAGGACAGAGGACTTGGAAAATCTGATACTCACAGGACAGATCAAAGGCAAGGGGGGCAGAAATAGCGAGCTTGTGTAAAAGCATGGCGGAGTAGAGCTTAGGGGAGATAACAAAGGGGAGATAACAAAAAGACAACATTTATTAAGAGCTGCAAAAGACTGGAAATTGTGGAGAGCCATGATCGTTAACGTCCTGACTGGACACGGCACATAAAAAAAGAAGGATGAGCTTGTGTAAAAGGTTGACGGAGAAGATCTTAGTGAGATAACAAAAAGACATGTATTAAGAGCTGCAAAGACAGGAGATTGTGGAGAGCCATAATCGTCAATGTCCTGAAGGGACATGGTACATAGAAAAATGAAAAGCGGTGGTGAGGCTTCTTGTCTCAGGGTGTATGTTATAATAATAATTATTTGTATTATTAAAAGAGAAGCGACGGTGATTGTATCCAAGCCGTACTCAGCAGAAAGGATAGTTTTAAGGCTCCATGCTTACGACTCGGGATTGTCCCTCGTGACAATAGCTTAGTTGATTATTGCGTTCGTTCGTAAATTTGATGACATTGTAAGTATGTGTTCAGTCCCTGGGGCGGGTAGTGTGTATTTGGATCCAGTAAATGAACACTATTAAATAAGAGATATATCCCCAAACGTGCTCAGCGGAACGAGAACAGTTTATCTCCGTAGTATCTGTCGATATTTCTGAGATGAGGTATTATGTACACTATTTACATTATTCTAACTATTGTCCTTATCTTTGTCGCCATATTTATTACAACGTTTCGGTCTTTCAGTATCTGTCTATATTTCTGAGATGAGGTATTATATACACTATTTACATTATTCGGACTATTGTCCTCATCTTTGTCGCCATATTTATTACAAACTTTCGGCCTTTCAGTATCTGTCTATATTTCTGAGATGAGGTATTATGTACACTATTTACATTATTCGGACTTTGTCTTCATCTTTGTTGCCATATTTATCACAACGTTTCGGTCTTTCAGTATCTGTCTATATTTCTGAGATGAGGTATTATGTACACTATTTACATTATTCGGACTATTGTCCTCATCTTTGTCGCCATATTTATTACAACGTTTCGGCTTTTCACTATCTGTGTATATATTCTGAGATGAGGTATTATGTACATTATTTACATTATTTGGACTATTGTCCTCATCTTTGTCACAATATTTATTACAACGATTCGGCCGTTGTACGCTCCGGCCTTCTTCAGGTGGTTGGAATGTCGAACTGAATCCTTTATTTCGCTCACTGGGGTAGACTGTTCTAGTTCCACGTGCCATGTTTTAATGGATGTCAGTTATCTCCTGTTAATTCCCCTCTCCATGTTCTCCACTGCCTTAATCGAGTATTGAACTCACACATATTTGGGTCCTGCCATGGGATCTAACTGTGCCATGTGTCGTTGTTATATCAATACTTGTAACAAAGTAAAATCGTTGCATTTGCCTTGATGAAGTTTCTCAGAGAATTAAACACGTCGGCTAAGATAAGTTTTCTTTTTTTTTTTATTCATTTTGTCTCTACCGGAAATTTTACATATTTTTACCTCTACCTCTCTTTCTTTTTAATATATATATATATATATATATATATATATATATATATATATATATATATATATTATAAATTAATTGATTTAAAATATGTTTTTTCCGCTACACCGTTCTAAACATGTTTCAAAAATGGAAGCTAAAAGCCCCGAATTTAATTTTGTAATTAAATTAAAGACATTAGTTCCATCTCATCCTCAAGCGAATTTTGGAGTAACTTTTAAAATTACTGGGTTTTAAAGACACAGCTAAAATCATAATTCATGTTTCCAAGGTTACAGATGAATCCAATTTACTAGACAAGGGGTGTCTGCGTGTTCATTATGTCTATATTTTAATGTATCAGTTATTGCTACGTTTTGGTAGTGGGTAGGGATGTGTTTTTCAATGAAATCTAACATCCTTTAAAAGCGTGTCGTCTGGATTTTTAAAATTTTTTATTGTTAACGGCAAAAATTCTTGCGGCATTTTTTTCCTTCGTATATTTAAAGATTTTTGGGGGTGTTTAGGTTAGAATACTTTTTATTTAACTACTATATTTCTTTTAAGAACAATTAAATGTAATGAGAATCCCTTACAGTTTGTAGAATTATTATCACATCAAGTATATTACGATTTTTAAAAATTTTTATATTTAAATATTATTTAAGTAAAATTTTCTTTTGCACTTACAGCAAAAAAAATCTAATTCATTTCTCTGTTTAAGTAAACTTTATTTATTTAATTACAGTTTTAAAAAAGTTTAGGTTAGAATTCATTTTAATTAACTACAATTTTAATTACAACTTTAAAATATTTTCATTGTTAGTTTTTATAGACTATATTTCATTTAATAGAAGTAAATGTATTAGAATTACTTACTGTAAGTAAAATTATTTTTCCATATCAAGTATATATCTATTACGATTTTTAAA